TTATATATATTTCAGAATAAATCAAACCACATATACAATCTTCTTCACATGAAGCAAATTCAGTTAATGATGACACAGCACCCCCTACCTCCCCAACAAAAATATCTTAAAACATAATGAATAAAAGTTTGGATATTTGGCTTAAATGACAGTCTCATAGATAACATTTCAAGTTTCAACTAATATCATTACATGTAGCAACCATTATAGAAAATCCTATGTCAAGTCAAGGTGGGAAACATGGGAAGTGGCATCAAATTGTAAGCAGCAGCACAGATTCTAAAGGCAAAATTGTATGTGAGATGTTATTGTGGCATAACCAATCTAGTCAAAGCTTAGAGGTACCATAAATCCAAATACATATATTGGCGATTTGTTTAGGAAAATGGCTCCAGATGTGGAAGAAGAAGAAAGCTAGAGTGGATTGGTCAACAGTAGAATATTTATGTCACATTTGAAAAGAAAGTATCAAAAAGAGACTACCTGAGTGAAGAACATACCAGTTTAAGAATGCAGCAACTACTATTATTAAATGATCTCCCCCCTCCTCAAAACCAAAAAAGAGAATATTTCTTTCTTTCATAAAAAAGGTAATTGGAATAGGAAGACATCAAGCTATACCAGAGGAAATGCATTCAGTAACAATTTACAAGAAAACCAAACAAAATAAAAAACCTTACCTCCTCAAAGCAATTTGCTCAAACTGCCCAATTGTTATTCTCCATTAGATCATAAACATGCTTGTGCTTGTCCCAAGACAATGATCCCTCCCCTTCATTTGCCTGCATTTAAACAACGTTCTTCCGACTATAAATATATTGACAAGTGGACAATGAGAAAAACAATTCCAGGTAGCAAAGAAATTTTGAGAGTCCATCAGATTTTTAGAAATTCTTCTGACCAGAAAAATAAATTTAAAATATAACAACATCACACAGCATTAAACATTGTTTGAAACCAGTGAAAACAAGGACCTTCTGTTTACTTCCTATATCAACAAATTATACAATGAAAGAGTTACTTAGAAGAATCAAGTTTTAACTGTCTTGTAGCAGTAACTACAGCCTCTCTAGTCTCTAGTGGGTACCAGATTAACTATTGATTAGTCAAGTGATCATAAACATAGTTCCATACTTCCATGTGTCCAGCAATTGAATTTATCCAATAGGAAGCACCGGCATACAAAATTGTAAACTTAGCAATTGGAATACACCTAAGGCAGAGGAATAAAATTATCAATTATATATATAGGTTTTGATAGGAATTTTCAGCAACGAACACACAAGTGAAGGGAAAACAGAGGCAAATGAACTGTTAAATTCCGCAACTTTTTCCCACATTGTTCTTGGCTATCAAATCCTTAGGAGCAAACTAAAACACATGAAAACAAGATTCGACATCATAAAAGTGCAGACAAGTAACGGAAAACTGCAACCTTACTGCCATTTTTAATGAATTTTAATACGAGGTTCTTATGCTAGCCATTCCACTTTTCCAGTTTTACATTCTCACAAATTAATTTATAAATACGCTAACATAACAAACTACCAAACATGAAATCGATTTCTAGAATATACAGATAAAAAAAAAATTTAATCCGTAAATTTTCTCAGAACAAAAACATCTCAATAAGAAATTAATAACTCTAACAAAATCAAAGACGCACCTAAATGTAGTTGTCGACATCGTCAATGCCAAACAGTTACCATCCAGGACATGCCGCAGGGACCATTTCCCTCGCTGGAACCTACGATCAACGATTGGC